TTTGCCAAGATGGACTCGCGAATCCTTCCTGTTGGTAACGGAAGTTCAATCCCTCCTCGCCCTCTTCCTTTTTTCTCACCTAACCCTTACCTTGCTGCTTCGCCTCACCACTGCTGCCAACCTATCCTTCTCCTCGGGATTGTGGAACGTGAAGGTTCCCCTTTGACGGGTTTTTCTTGGTCCTGGGGTGGTGGTCTCGGGGATGAAGTACTGGGATCGTCGTCGGTTTATGGACGGGAATACCATCCGACCGGGGGTTCAGTTGGGATTGGAATGGGGCGAGGGGGCGGCGAGGGGGGAGGCCTAACGGTTTGGAAGTCACATCGCGGCGCAAGTGAACCTCACTAATAACCTAATAGAGATTTCGTTTGGGTGGAAGATGGGGCCATGTTGTGAAGTCTGGACTCTGAACTTCTGAAGAGAACCTGCCCTGATCAGCAAGGGACGGAGTCTCGGATGATAGACGGAGCAATGCCTAGGTACGTAGGTAGTCCAGAAGGAAACAGTCCTAATACGTTGCAAAGTACGTATCGTTTGCAATTCAACTCTCTGAAGTCTCCCAGATGCTCAAATCGTCTTTGGCGCGCGTACTGAGGGAAAGCAGGAAGACGGAGGTGATGATAAGGTACGATGAATGCACATTGAAATGAACAAGGTGCAACCACCCGCATTTAGCCTCTCCTCGAAAAAGAGGCGTGTCTACCTATTCTCCGTACCTGAACGTTTGATCGCTGAACCACGCGCTTGTCCTTCCCCCTTCCTCACGATACCCCAATACATGTACGAACAGGTGCGGAGAACGGTGTGTTCCTCTTTGGGGACGCTAGGTCCGACATCTCGTTCCATTGGTCTGGCTCCCAAAGGAAAAGAAGAGGGGGGTCAAGGTACGTAGCTCAGAGGTTGGATTTCCAACGAGGCGAGATGCCGTGATGCCCTACTTTACTTTAATCCTTCCCCCCCCCCTTCCCCTTGGTCTCCGATGAAGTGTCCAATCCTATTGCTCGATTGAATTTCGCGGATTACTCTTTCCAGCTTGGGGAGGACGGGACCCAAGCCACGCAAAGGCCTGTCGGGCTGTGGCTCACTTCTGGCCCCTCACGCAGGTTTCTCGTCAGATGGTTAACATGGGGTTTTGCATTTACTTCCCGGGTGTCGTTGCTAGTTCGTTGCGTGGACGGATATTATCAGCCCAGGCCAGACTCAACCAAGGGGGGGGAAACAGATGTCGCGAAAAGCTCGGATGGACAACGAAAGAAGTGGAGGTTTCCTCGGCTCATTCAATGAACAACCAACCCATACGCTGCTTTCTTCCCCTTTTTGTTTGGTAGTGGTGTGGATTTTCCCGTATCTTCCTGCGGCCTGCATCTTATATCGCATCAGTCAGACACACTCCATCACGGAGTGGAGGACGCTGCAGTGCCCGGTACCGTACCTCACTAGGTACGCATAACCCTTTCAGAGATTCGAGAACCACAGGAACCACAGGATGGAGATGGGCCGAGGGAACGGGGCGCCGGGGAAAGCGTCCTCTTGCATCTACCTTACTGCGTATCCGGGCTAGCACGCCCAGAAAGAGTACACTTATATCCGCGACCCGGTGCGGGAAGGTAAAAAAGAAGGGAAAGGGAGGCCCGTCTGACTAAACCATTTCGGGTCCGGCTTGCTATCGAAAAGATGGCGGGCTCCCCGTCCGTCCCGTTCAAACGATAGGTATCCGTACCTTAGGACGAGGTACGGGATGAGTGGTGCACAACATACCGCAGGTTGAAGGGACTAGGACTAATAAGGTGGTCGGTGATACTCCGTACAATTCGTAGCTGTCTGGTCTGGTCTCTTTTCTTTTCTTTTTTTTTTCAACCAATCTCCCCTTTTTCTGATTGCGCCGAGTCGATCTAGATTTCGCAGCCCGCAAATGATATCTCAAATGGTAGGTACTGTACGGAGAATCAACATCGCTTACGACAAAAATGGTGTGCAGCCAATTGACGAATCTGTTTTGACGTTTTTTTTTTTCTCTTTCGTTCGATCCGAGGTTCTGGTTGCCGGCTTTTTCTTCAACACCAGCTTCCTGGTCCCCAGCCCAACAAACACACAACCCCGTTCTTCCCATTCCTCTCTCTCGGGTCCCGTACGCCCGTTCTCTTCCTTGGCCTTTACCGCTCTTTTCCCGTCCGGAATCTAAATGATCAATGAGACACGTCCGGCAGCGACTGGAATGCTAAGAGCCTAAGAAGGGATGTGGACGGGAAGGCTGAAAACTGATAACCTAGCCACAGAGTCGAGGGGGTGTTTCCCTCAAAGTTTTTAATTACAAACGAACAATCCCATATCCCTATTCGTAGAGTCTGGGCTATAGTAATCCAGGGCTTAGTTGGCTTGGTAGGGTACTTTTGCATCAGCCACAAAAAAAAAAGCTGTCTACTCAGTCTTCCATAGTAGACCATCGTTGCTCAGAGGTACTCAATGTGAGAAGAAGTACGCTACGGAACGCCTGGATATGAGCAATGGCGCGCGCCATCTTTCTGGGCAAGCTAGTCTAGCTGATCGCTTACCGCCCCTTCTCAAGGTTTCTTTCGACCTGGGCAGCTGGACAACCAACAACCATGACCTGGGGGCGTGAGCTGGCTTTAGTTAGAGAGACACTGAGGAGCATGTTTATATAGCCTATGCCTATGCCGAGCCTCTTCCCCCAAAGGTAGCGTACCCGACGATACGGGATGGGATGGTTGGTGTTTGTTTGTGTGAGGCGTACCGGTACATGTGTTTTTGTTTTCTCTCCGCGGATGCAACGAGGTTGTCTTTCGAGAGGTCGTTATCCTTCAGGCTTCAAAACGTTTTACTCACTATGTGTGTGTGTGTGTGTCTGTGTCCGTCTCTGAGCCTCACATGCAATGCAATCAGCCAGGTTCCAGACTCTGCACATCTTGCTTCCTGCTGCTGCAAGTTCGCAGAGGCATAATGTATATGTACGATGAGGGGAGGTGTCTTAGCTAAGACGTGTATCACGGATGTCAGACTCAGGAACGAACACCACCTTGAAAGACTTTGGGTTCCTCGGCTTCCCATGGGAGGGAGAGCAAGAGAAAGACAGAGACTTTGAATGGGATTGGACAAGGGAGACAGACACTCCCCCCCCCTCGTCCCCGATGGGCTAAGCTCCGGACATATTCCAGAGCCAGCTCCGTGCGAATCCCCGGGCCTGGGGACCCACCTCTAGCAAATTCCCACAGTCCCGTCGTGCCTCTTTCCTGGGACAGGGATATCTGCGACCTGGTGGTTCTGGACAGGGTTGCCAGGGTTCTCAGGCAGACCCCACTTTGGGGACACGGTTCCAGTCTTCCTGTTCCCAGTGAGAGGGCGCCCCGCTCTCGCAGTGTTCCCAGTGCCAGAGATTCGCACATCGCAGAAACCAGAAAAGCTCGGACATTCTTCCCAATTGGAAGGTACCAGGGCCCCCCGCTTCTCTGGGCCTCGTCTTCTCCACCCTTTTGTGCCAGCCGATGGCCATGGTTCATTCACCACAATCACAGAGGTGAGAGGTGAGCACAGCAGAGACCGGGACGGGTACGCAGTACGGAGTACATACATCCCTTACTGTTGTTCGTCGTTGTCTTTCAACACATGCCCACTCGCCGCCCCTCCCTCGTCTCCCGTCCTCCGGGCAGGCTTCTCGTCCAACCCAACTTCCGTGCTTCCCAATGGAAGAGGGAACCTGAGCCTCTGAGGTGGATTATGGATTGTGGATTGTGGATTTGCTGGGATGGGTTTCTGGCGGTACGTATCGTCGTCTCCCCACCCGCCACGACCACCCCCATCCACACAGTTCGCGATTCCACACACAACACACCCCCGGTCGCAGTCGTAGTCGCAGTCCCAATCCCCGGTCCCAAGTGTCCCAGCGCCTGTGCTGACGCTTGGTATGCTTGGTGCTGGCTGGCTGGAATGTGTCTCTGGGCTGTCGGGTGTCTGTCGCAATTCTGGTGTGTCCTTCCCTCCGGTACGGCTAGGTAGGTACGTACCCCTCAAACACTTTAGCAGGAGGGTGACCCGCCCCATTTGTGGATCTCGTCTCCGGCATGGGGCCATTCCACTCGTCGACGAGCCATGGGAGCCACCGTGCTGTGACCAGTCACCACTTTCCCAGCGAGGTGGGTTTTTAGTGTTACCACTGCATTGGAGTCCATGTTTGGTTTGGCCGCCGTCTGGTCTTTTTGTGGTGGGTTCCTATGTCTTTTGCGCCTTGCCCCGTCTCTTGCCTGGTCTCTTTCCTGCTACCCACGCCTCTGTTGTGTCTGCACTGCGTACGCATACTTGTAGTGTACGGATACCCTGTGTTGTGCTGTGCTGCCGTTTCTTCTTGGTACGGGCGGATACAGATACAGATACAGATACAGATACGTCGCTGCATCTTGCATCAAGTCACCAAATTGACCGACCGGCCGACCGACCGGGCATACAGAGAACATGGAGCATGGGGCGTGAACATCAACATGTGGTGCGCTGCACCGGGCGTGGATGAGGACAGCTGCAAAGTCTGGGACCGAACTGGCATTGGCGTTGGTGAATGGATTGGATTGGTCGTGTCGTGGAGCTGCAACCCGACGCAAGACGCAACCTGCAAGAGAAGAAAGAGGCAGAGCCATCGGTAATGAGAGAGCCAGGCCTGCTAGGGACATACGGTAGGTAGGTAGAGTAAGGTTGCAAGAGGAGTTGCAGACACCTACCTACCTGGCCCAGAGAGTATGTGTATCGTAATTGCCTTACACAGTAGTGTAAAGGTACATTTACGGATAGAGAATGGAAGACGAGACTCAGAGTCCAGAAGCCACCACCCCCCCCCCCCTAATGGATGTCACCAAGGAAAACCAAACCCAAGCCTGGCACCTGCCTTTTCACCCAGCACTAGCCCTTCTCGACTCTAGCCCCCCTCAACCTTGCCTCTTAGCACGCTGCACCTTGTTTTCCCACTTTTTTCCACACTTCCTTTCAACCACCTCCTCCCCGTCAACTTACCTTGCTCTCCCGTCCTTCTTCTTCCTCGTCTTCCCCCTTCTTACACCACACCCTCTCTCCCAGGCCGACTCATCCCGAACAACTTGAACAGTTCGTTCGTGATCCGACTCCTGCTCTCCTTCTCGCCCGTCCCAAAAAAAGGTCACGGCAAGAAGAGGTCAAACACCGTCTTGCGAAGGATCTTGCTTTCGCCAGCACTCACATCTCGACTTTCCCGCTTCGCTGTAACCGCCGACGATCGACGTCCAGTTAATCGCCTCAGGTCCCTGGTCCCATCTGTCTAAGACTGCACGAACCAACATCGCCCAACCACACAGCACCATTTCTCCCGCCCATCTTCGCATTACACCTCACCCACGCCACCCGTACACTCGATTTGTTACAAAACGACAAACCGACATTCTCGATTCTCTCAAATACAATTGTCCCTCTCGCAAACTTATCACAACAGCAGCAATCTGGTCCTGTTCGTTTGGATTTTAGTGCACTGCAGATCCTACCGTCTATCCCCAGAGCAGCCCACAATTGACCCAGGGATCCCACGTTTTCGAAATCGATCCGACTAAAACACCAACCTGCAACTACATCGCTAAACATGAGTTCGCCAGCACAAGCCGGGCCTTCGGTCCCGAAGGAGAAGAAGGGTTTGGGCAAGATTCTGTCTCGCGCCAAGACTGTCTTCAAGAGAGGCGATAGCTCCAAGCGCATGTCGACCCTGTCTACCACTGGACAGCAGTCTTCTGCGCAAGCCGCTACTCCTGGGTAAGCAAGACATTTCGCATGCTTTATTGTCTTCAACTCTTTTTTGGTGTCACGGTACCCTGTCTGCGTTACCTGTCTAACGTGCATACAGCCCATCCACCGCCGCCCCTGCGACCGAGCAACCTGCCGCTGCCACCACCACCAAGGAGACCGCCAAGGACACTACCAAGAAGGAGGCCCCCAAGAGCAAGTATGAGGACCTCGAGGGCGTCACCAGGGTTCCCCGATCCGAGCTCTTTGAGGAGCGCGCCAGGAAGTTGGGCGAGAGATTTGGTCTCGAGATCAAGCAGAGCGAGTGGATCTCTACTGAGGGCACTGCTCTCCGCGTCGAGAAGCCCATTCGCATGCGCGTCCACCGAACCTGCCACAAGTGCAATGCTACCTTTGCTGCCGCCAAGGAGTGCCCGGGCTGCCAGCACGTTCGTTGCACCAAGTGCGTCCGCCACCCGCCCAAGCGGACCGAGGCCGAGCGCATCGCCAGCCGGGAGAAGCGGGCCGCCATTCTCAAGGCTCAGAAGGAGAACGCACCCATCGTTCCCGACTACTCTTACGACGCCAAGAACGCAAAGGACATTGTCCTCAAGCGCCCCAGCAAGACCGGAGGACAGGATCTCATTTACAAGAAGCCGCGTCAGAGGGTCAGGAGAACTTGCCACGAGTGCCAGACGCTCTTCACTGCTGGCAGCAAGACATGCTCCAAGTGCAGTCACAACCGCTGCACTGACTGTCCCAGAGACCCGTATGTTGCACCATTCCGTGTGTTGAGACTGACAGCTAACATTATATCAGGCCCAAGAAGGACAAGTATCCGTTTGGTTATCCTGGCGACGAATTTGGTCCGAATGCTGTGCCGCATCACGAATGCCATAAGTGCAAGACGATATACCCTGGAGGTGTGGAAGACGGAACCGCATGCAAGAAATGTCAGCATGAGAAGTGTGTCGACTGTTCTCGTCTGAAGCCACGCAAGGTCGAACCCGAGCCAGACCCAGAGATACTCAAGAGCATACAGGCCAAGATCGAGAGTCTAAAACTCAAGTAATGACACAGCCAGCCATGACTTTTTACACCGTCCGACTTGATTGAGTTGGATTGGAGGCTCTTGGACATGGCGGAGTGGTGGATCTCTACTAGCGAGCCTACGGCATTTACTGGTCAACCTCCATCTCTACGGCGCACCACAGGCCCTTCATCCGACTTGTTCATGTCGCACATGCATTCAACATCTTTTTCTTTCTTGCACTACAACGACACTACACGACTATCCATCACCATCATCATCTGCATCACATCATACCTCTTATTCCGCCGCTGCCATACATACCCCTCTGTCTTGACCACCAGCCAGAGGGATGACGATGAACAAGAAGCACTCACGCACCACGCGATCACGACCCAGCATTGTCTCGATCAAACAAAAGTACCTTTTACTGCCGAGCGAAGCGACCTGTACCTACTGCATACAACTAGCCTGTTTCGAAGAGAAAAAGAAAGGAAGAATTGAGGGAGAGGAGACGTACCCTGACGCACCTGGATTGGGAGGAGGGGGTGGATCAGGCCATAATCGCGGAAGACGGGACGAATCGGAGTCTGGCGACTTGGAATGAAGCAGAGGAGTTGCATTGCAGCGACAAAGAACAGAGCAGTAATACTAGGCGTACGGACCAGAACCGACAAGACGGGTCCAATCAGGGTGGGCGGATTAGCCTACAAGCGGAAAGCGAATTATTCTCCTTTCATCTCATCGTCACCTTCTTCCCATCTCTCACGAATCATCATTTACTCATACTACTACCACTCGGTACTTTTTATTAAAGTATACCCAAAGAACGGGCTTCTGACCCCAAAACTTGGCTTTTGGATAGGCCATTATCCCTAGTCCCCCAATTGTTCATATGAGACCGTGATCGACCTATTTACCGTGAAATGTCCGAGAACGTATCATCGGCCCGAATCTTCGGGGTGGTTCTACCCTAAGAGAAGAATCTCATCTGACCTTTTTTCCTCCTAGTGGTAGGTGACGAAGACCGAGTCGTAGTGCTTTCTTCCCCGGACGATGTCACTTAGTGTAACGTAACCTGTGGGATGTCTTAATTCCAAAACTGTTAAGACGTGCGTGCCGAGGTGCCAGAAAAGCAAGTTTGGACAGAAAACGGGATTTTTTTTGGTTCTGGTTCTGATTGAGTTGTCGGCTACCATGGTACGAGCCTACCGGTACACAAGATAATTTGCCAAGCACAGACCGACCATTGGAACCCGCTTCAAAACCCGGGAAGTCGGTCGGCAACGGTTTTCTAGAGGTTGTTGTCGTGTTGTTGCGTACCTCTTTTTTTTTTGGTACCACGAGCCCGTGAGCCCGGGAGGTGGTGGTGGTGCCTTGAAAGGGGGTGGCGGAAGCGGGAATCGGGATCATTGGGTGCGGTGTGATGGAGGGAGGGGTGTGTGTGTGTGTGTGGTGTGGTCTACCGTCCTAAGGTAATGTGGGTGAGGTGGGTGTTGGTGTTCCATTGGGGGCTGTGGTTTAGTGGGCGGTGATGTAGTTATCAGAGCGGATTGGATCTGGTTTCTCGGGCTTTCATTTGGTGAGAAGAAATTATGGAAGGGTTTTGAAGCTACAATGGGGGGCTTCTCTCGTCGATGATCTTGGAGAGGCGTGAGAATGTTTCCGCGGACTTGGTCGGCTTCTTCGTCATGGTGGTTGCAGATGTTTGTTGTCTTGTCCCTTTGGTTGGTTGTTATAGTTGGCGCCTCCCCATACACACTTGGTATCTTGTGTGGGTGGGTAGATAGATGGGCGACCTCAGCCGACCCGGCCGCCCTTAAAAACCCGTAATTCCGTATTCCAGACACCCCTTCTAGAAGGCAAGCTAGAAAAGGGGCCGAGAAGAACCTAGACAATGTTGTCTTTTTTTCAAAATTCTAGTCGTTGGGTGGGAAAGGGCGGTTATCGTAGGACGAATAAGGGTCCCAGGAACCGCTGTGTATACAGTCTTTGGTGCCTCTGCTGACGTGCGTGCGTTGCGGTTTTGGGGGCCAACGTTCGTGTCTGCACGTGTACGGGGTATAGCGTTGCAGAATTATAGGGAGTGAGGTGTATGTAAATACACCGTCGTAGCAATAGGGAACGGTTTGGTGTGTGTAGTGAAGTCAAGGTAATCCGGTGGCGTTTTTTGCTTAGTTTCCCTTTTTTCCAAGATTTGTTCGGTCGGTCCTATCCGCCGGGTGTGTGGGTGTGATGAGTGAACCCGTCAGCCCGTTTGTGTGTGTTGCGCGTCTGGTCCCCCGTCCGGCAGTTTGGGTTCTGAGGGATGGTTGGCTGGTTAGCAGCTGGGGAACCACGGAACGTTTCTTCTCTTTCTCCCTCCTTCTCCTCCTCCTCGCAACCCCTTCCCTCCTGTCATGGATGGTTCCACCCGTTTTGGCGGTCTATGTTATGAGACCTAATCTGTGAGTAGGTAGCTTAGCTTACATGACGTTCATAGGATGAGGTTCATTTAAGATGATCTTGGGGGAGGGGAGTGGCGGGGCTGAAGAGACGGAGTGTGGCTGGGCCTTCTTTGCTGATTGGGTGGTATGGTTGTTTCTTGTTAAGATGATGGCGTTTACGTGTGTGTCTGTGTGTATATGTCTGTGAGATGGTGGTCGACTAGCTGATATCTCGCATTCGAGGTTGTGGATGTTGCGAATCCCAGTTTGGATGTGTGTCACCTACCTATCTCGTCGACTTACTTTTGGGACAGTCAATGTCTCTCAAAGAGGAGTGAAGATGTTACCAACTTGGTCATATCTTGCCGCCCGGCGTATCCGTCTTGGCTCGTCGTCCAAATGGTATTGGCCAAGGCCTCATATGACGATGTGCTCTAGCCAGCTACAGCCTTTCAGGCTAGATGGTTCACATGGAAATACCAAGAAATGCAAAGGCACGTTCACGTCCGACTAAAACTCCAAAGAACCGGATAGTAACATCAAATCCTAACGGCGTCTATGTAGTATTCCTATTCTATACAGGGTTCTGATGCCTGTCTATCCTAACAAGTACCGTCTCATATTCCTTCGTCAGAAATGAGACACATCTCACCTTAACGACGTCGTAGGCGTCCCGCCTAGGCGCCATCCTCACGTACGGATTGCTCAAACTGGATCACGCTGCCAGGAGGCAGGGCAGGCCCGATTGTCTCGACGCGGGTCCGCTTCTGGCCAATGTACGCCGTCTTGAAGGTGTCGATGCGCTGGTTGAGTCGCTGCTGCACGTCACGCACGATGCCTTTCTGCACCTCAGCAAGAACTTTGGCTTGGCCATCGAGCAGGGGTAGGAGCTTATGCGTGGGGTAGAATCGGCCCTTGAGATCCGGCTCGCGAAGGACAGCGTTCTGCTTGAGGAGCACGCAGCGCCAGCGGTCGCTCGCGGCAAACTTATTGCGGAACGCAATCTCGTCGCGCAGTGGGCGCGGGAGTTTGTCATCCGGTACCGGGATGCCACTCACGGGTTGGTTGTCGCCGGTGATGGGCTGATAAATATCCCCCTTGAAGAATGCGTTACCGGGTGAATCGATGGGCGCCGTGCAGATCTCACGGAGGCCGAGGAGTGCGTCGGGGAGGTTCGCTGCCGCGGGAGGCACGCCTTGTTCAGCAGAAAGACGCACGCGCAAGACATCACCAAGTTCAATCCGCTCGGCGCCCAGGAAAATACCGTGGTAGTCAATCTTCTTGCCCCCATTTGTCTCGGAAAGTCGACTGAAGACCGAGAACGACACGCCAACCTTCTGGGCGGCCATCTTGGAGGAGTCGAGTAGCGCAACCTCGCGGCGGTGCGTGTCTTCCGGAGTAATCGTCTGGAAGAAGGCATCCCAGTCGACCTCGTCGTAGGCCTTATTTTGGAGATCCGAAATGCTGACGTTAGGCACCGAAAATGCAAGAAACGGGCGCGTTGTCGCTTCCAGTGTCTGAATGGGCGACTGATTGAAGTTGACATGTGACATTGGGAGAATCTGAAGCTCGGCTTTGTTGGTATTAGGGTTGATAATACCAGTAGCAGCCACGATGCCCAAACGCCACCCTGACGATATCTGGAACCAAACCAGTTCTCCGACACGGAACAGCGCCGGAGCTACAATTCCACCGTAAGGCGGCGGGTAAGGCAGGAACTGCGGTTGCTGATAGACCGGCGGTGCCGGCGCATGTACCTGAGGTTGAACCTGCTGTTGAGCCTGGGTCGGAGCTGGTGCAGGCTGTTGCTGAACTTGCTGTTGCTGCTGGGTCGGCTGCTGGATTTGTTGCTGGACTGGTTGTTGGACTTGAGGTTGAACGGGAACCTGTGATGGGGCCTGAGCTTGCGGATGAACAGGAGTTGCCTGGATCGGCTGAGGAGGGTGCTGCTGCTGCTGTTGCTGCACAGGAGGCTTTGGCTGAACTGGAGCTTGCACCGGGGCGGGGGAGGGCACCGCGCGTGAGGGTATCGTCGGTATCGGAACTGGAGTTTCCTTCTTCGCCATTGGGATGGGCACTGGCACAGGTGTCTCCTTCTTCGCGATTGGAGGCGTTGACGCCGCCGCGGGAACGGGTATCGGGGACGCCGCAACGCCTGGGGGTATTTGAGGTGTGATCTTGCGCATCTTGGACGGTGGCTGAGTGTTGTTTGCTGCTGGCAGAGGCCGAGGAACATCCGAGACAGTCAAATCCTCCATATTTGGCATTTCGCGAACGTTGCAGTGAATGCAACGGCAGTCAGTTCGGTCCATCGAGCCAGACAGGAGCCATAGGACATGAAGACCAAATTCCTGCGGGCTCTTGTAAAGCTTCGACTTTACTGGATGCCCCGAGACCCAAAGATGCTTGGATTTTTCGTACAGCCAGTAGCCCCGTGGAAAATGCAGGAGCCAGGGGAGACCCTCTATGAAGGGTGTCAGTGAACGTGCTACCTCTCATTTGCAGACGGCTAGCTTACCTGTCGGAGAGAGTTCTTGCTTTAACAAGATTCCCAGCTTTATGCGCCATTCTTGAAATCTTGCGTCATCTTTGTCTAGCCGCACCATTTGAGGTTTCGCTCTCGGTACCTTCTCCAGTGCTGTCTTCTTCGCGTTCTTCGCAGCCGTATCGGCAGGAGTTGGCCAGTAACCCGCTCCATTGTCCTGGCCGTCGCTTCGACACACATTGACAACTGAATACTCTACTAAGTCGGACATCCTGGGTTGATGTATGATTGCTCAGAAGTCGACGATAGTGAGGTTCGCGCCAGGGTCGAATGAGAGCTCCGATGAGATGAACGGCCACCTCAGACAATCCCTGAGGTCTCCAGAGGCAGCTTGCCAGTAATCTCGTGAGTCGAATTGATGAGGAACCAATAGCTAAGATGACCGCGGGATAAGCTAGATGTGCTAGCACATACTGCGCTTTCGTTGATGAAGTCCGTTGCGAGCTATGAAGTGGATCTGGTCTCGTGGTGGGTTCACTTCGTTCGATGTTGCTCAAGACAGTAGGCTCCTGCCCCAATTAGCCTGAGTTGTCGATCCAATTGGAATCCTGTATGGGAGCAGGAAAAATTCGGAGATAGCCAAGTACGATCAAGGTGCAATTATCCACTGTCTGTCGCAAGTATTTGTTTGTCGTGAAGTTGAGCTCTTCGAAATTGAAAGAGGTTGAATGTTCATGGAGCTCGGAGGTGGACGTGCACGCCAATTATCTTAGTCAGCAGATCCACACCATGCAAAAGGTACCGCGATGGGTCCCTCGCCTAATCCAACCTCCTTTCTTTAGGATAAGACACGACCATGGGGGTCTTTATTCACCATATGCCCGTCAGCTCCTACTGGACATCCGTATTCTTCTCATGAAGACACATTGAGAATCTCCAAATGTTCAAAGGTTAGTATTCATTGTCACATAGCTCGGCGAAAGTTTGTTTTACACCATTTGCCGTCTTCCTGAGACCTATTCGGCGAACTGCGCCTCACAAGCCAACGAAGCCATGTGTGCCGTCAAGTCACACTGCCTTACCTTCAAGCAGCACGGAATCACAAGAACATCAATTGGACTGCCAGTGGGCGTTTTTAAAAGGGCAACACCCCTGATCGACTATCCGGCTCTCAGCACCAGGATTGGATTCAATATCAAATTACAGCTATGAAAGTTCCCTCTGATGTTCAGCGCCATAGCATATAGACTAGAGAGTCGTAATCTTCCTCTTGGGGATGAATCTGTGGTACTTCATACTCTGCGTGGTCTTCTTCCGAAACGCCTTTGGGCTTTTCGACACGCTTCCAGTAGAGCTCTTCGGCTTCTTTGAGCAGTCTGTCCGCTTCCAGTTCACGACCAGGTATCTGATAGAGACCCTCCGAAAGCTTGTACAGACAGCGAGCGTGCTCCCCCACTTGGATATCCTTTCGCAATGATGTAATTGCCATCGCGTCCTGGAGATATTTCCTGGGTCGTGTTAACGAAGGCAACTATATGTTTCCAGATCTAGACTTACACAGCTTGTTCCACTTCTCCTTCAAGTAGCGCGCAACATCCCATGCGGTAAATTGTAGCCGCGTAAAAGTCCGACGTTCTGGAACTGTTGCCCGTGAGCCATATGCTTTGCGCCTTTTGGAACAAGAGCTCAGCAAGCTTGAAGTCTCCTTCAAACATGGCTAGTCTAGCACGAGCGAACTGACACCTGGGCAAAACAACGAGACATTAGCCGGAGCGTCCCAAGCACTTAAGATTGAGTTCATTCTCGGGCGTTCATAACTTACGGTCCCGCCGTCCCCCAAATGACTGGCTTGGTTGTCATCATGTCCTCTAGGGATATGTCGATGTCGGTTCTAGCTTCGTCGTACCTCTTCATGTAAGCCAAAGTTCTCCCCCTGCCGTATCTTTGGTTCGGGTGCCAATGAAATTCAACATTCTCAGACTTGGCCCATCGCTCCCAAGAAGTCCTGCTGGTTCCTTGCCATTCCAGAGCGGTCTCATACTCGCCTAGGCAGGAGTAAAATGCGGATATGTTGTTTGCCATCCAACTCAAGTTTTGGTGATCATCTTGAGGAGCCTTCAACTTCATGTTGCGTGCGCTCACCATCACTTCTATTGCCAGGCGATAGTGACCTCGGCGCGCCCACATCTGTGCAATATACGTGTCCGGCGAGGTTAGATTGTACAGCTCGGGATCCTGTTCAGGAAGAGTTGCCAAGGCCAGTTTGCCTACTTCGACGAGGTCTTCAAGCTCAGGCCAGGTTTGCTGCTCCAATAGAAACCTAGGGAAGAAGTTAGCTAGCATGAACGGTACCTATCTTGGACGGATGTATGCCGACCGTCCACATTGAGCCCACATCGAGCAAGTCTTCGTGCAAGCATAAAAACCAGGATTGCGCCTCCTTTCGAGCCTGAAACAATTCTTGAGTTGCAATACGTGCTGTACCCACAGCTGACATTGCTCCCACATATTGTACATCGTTGCCGTTTTGCCATCTGGCCTCTTGGGAAACACATTTTCCATCAGATGTGATGCCTCTATGAACGACTTTTGCCGGTCTTCTGGCGTCATGTAACGTAGGAAGTGAGTCTGGATGAGCCGATGGATTGAGTAAGTTTGGGTCTGCCTGTCTCTCTTAACGAGTGCTAGAGTCAACAGCTCTTCCATCGCCTCTTCAAATCTGCCAGGTACCTGATTAGCGATCACAATGCATGCAACTCAAAGGGGTCGTTGTCACCTATCCACATCAAGGAACCAGAGTAAGCTATCAGGGAGGTTCTCGGCTTCTTTCAACTCAAACAGCGAATGAGGAATGCTGTCAGGAGCGCAGTAGCTAAACGCAGCCAGCAATGCGGCGCTGTCAGGCTTCAGATTCTGGAATGAAACCTTCCAGACCGCTTCTAAGCCGTCCTTGAAGTTCAGATTGCTTCCGTAATTATCGAGGAGTTGAGAAATTGACCATGACCGACGTTGAATAAGTCCGCTCATGTTCGAGATTGCCAGCGCATGACCACTGAGTCTTTCGGACAGACTATATGCAGACTTCGCTTCGTTCGCCAGAAGATCTGCACTAATATGACCAGATAGTAGATGCAAGAGGAACTTGGTCCCATTCTCTGTATTCCATGAGGAAACCTCGAGACCTCCACTGGCTGGGTCAAATGCAAGCGAGTGGTTTCGTGTCGTGATCAATGCTAAGCCCTGGCTACCCGGCAAGGGCCAATTGGCCCGCAGAAGATCAAAACTCTCCACGTTGTCGTACACTATGAGCCATTTGCATTCTGTTCACGTTAGTCGAGCCTCGGGATTCGAAAAAGCTTTGACGACTGACCAGTCTGCTGAAGCCAGTCCTTCACGATTAGTCGATTCTCATCATGCAAGGTTCGTTGGGCTCCAGGGAGGTCTAGTCTCAGAGCAATATCGGTAAAGCTCTGCTGAAACGAGATTATGTTCTCAGCGTGGACCCAAAATATTGCAGTAAGCCCTTTCTCTGCCTTCTTTTTTTCGATGTACTTCAAAGCGACATGGCTCTTGCCTACACCACCCATGCCATAGAGCGCAAGTGATCGCAGGCCATCGACTCTCTGATCTCCGAGTTGGCGGTCTATCTCCTCGATGACTTCGCCACGGTTGAAGAACCGATTCGTACTGGCAGTGGGTAGGACATAGCAAGGCAATTTGGCCTTATCAGTGAAAGAGCGAGGTGACAGGGCTAGAAAAGACAACATCGTGGCCTGCCTCTGGGCGATTTCTGCCATCTTCTCAACCTCTTTCAACGACTCATCAATCTCGGCCTGGGCACTGTCATACATGACCGTCAACTTGGCCCACGATCCCTGCGTATGACCTACAAGGAATCAGCAACCGAAACAGTCGGGTTTGCGTACTCCTAGATCCTACCGTGCGGCGATGAGAGGCTGGCAATGTCTCCAGCATCCCGCAGAAACCTGATAGCATCTGATAGGAACCTTGTCATCGAGACGAAGATCTCGAAGCATGCCTCCTTTTCACCCTTAGATGGAGTAGAACTTTGACCCGCATGGAGTTGGAAGGTCTGGCAGGCTCGGCCCAACCTCTTAAGTATCTGAGTGATTCGCCGCGTTGCCTCTTCGTCGGGTAGAGCAATCTGCGCTGTTGTCAGTACAGTCATTGCTTTGAAATTTTCAGGACACGTTAGCTTGCTGTTATAATCAGCCCAAATAGGCCCCAGAAGATTTCTGGACTAAGCTTTGGACCGAGTTTTGTGGAAAGTAATCGCTGAAGCTTCTGAGATACACAAGACGTGGCTCGAGCATGCCGATTTCCTGATGGGTTTCGTCCATCCCTTCGAGGAATTCCTCTTTGATATCGTCATAAGTCCTGAAAATCTTGATTGTCCGACGATCGTTTGGTTCCATGCGCTCGGTTCCTGATTTCAAAGTAGACGCCCATTGCCGCGCAAAGTGCGCCTCCCTAGAGTGTGGTCAGAGTCTGAAATATCAACAGATACCGTGTAGAAATCAACATACATCTCAGACTGCTGCATTCTGAATGATGAATTCGTAGCTTCTCAATAACTTTGAGATTATTGCCCCAGGCGAGGCTGGGAAACGGAACCAAAAGACAAAGAGCTCTCGCTCCTGTGCGGGTTACAGTTCTACATATGGCCCCTTACAATTTCTCGAATGCGGCGCATCCACGTCGACATGCAAAGGCCCGGCAAGAAGTTGATTTGTGACACACTGCGGACCTTGCTTTACCTCATGTAACCAACTCCCTTCATTGAACAGCTGCAAAACCCGACTAGCCACTTACACCAGTATATTAGAACCTATCTTTTAAGTTGCTCATACCCTCAAGCTCTGTGCCCAACGAGTCTTCAAATGCTGTCGGTGTGCCAGTGTGTTCTCCATATAATCAGACAAAGCTCTGAGCTCAGAAAGCTACTGTCAATATGCCTGAGATGAAGACTGGATACTGTAAGTAGGTACGAACGAACAGGTGCAACTTCGGTCGCGGCCGAAAAGTGCGGGGCTTACGTCCTGCAGATGCAGGCTGTCGTGCATTGCCAAGGTTGGCACCAAATGACATTCCCCTTTCAGCTATGATGGTTTTTGATAGGATAGCCTGATCTCGCCCGCAACAGCTCATGCCACTTCAGTTGTTGGGTGGTGTAGAGCCCGTTGCCCGATGTAAGCGCTCTCGCTCAGCCTGCTTCCGATATGCGTATCGGAACAACCTTTTGAGGATAAGTCTGACGCGAATTGAGCATAAGTCAACTGCCGATCAATCATATCAGAGATCACTGTCTCATGACCGCATTTTCTACACAAATTGGGCGCCACACATGTTGCCTCGGTGACTGAGTGACGTGCAAGTACCCGGGACGCCTTGAAATTCTCTTGGGGCTGGGGTTGATGGAAATTGATTGGAATACTTAAGATTCTGTGATACCCTGGATTCTTACTTCATAAGCTTTAGGGACCATAGCAGAGACAAGTAAGTTTCATATGCTTGTTGCTGCCTGCCGCTCTCTATCCAGCTGCGGCTGTCTGTGTCGCGTGGACTGGATGGCTGAGGTCGCCCCGGCTGCCTGAGTAGAGTAAGCTCCCACTTCTTGGCACGTTAAATTCAGTCCTCGGGTTCAAAGTCAATGGTTGGATCAAGTTGAAAGTGGTCGAATGACTGGCTTATTTCTCTTGCCTTTGGACTTCTCGGTCTCAGCCGGTCAGGAGGAAGTGGTATATATTCATAAGTATGTAATGACGTCTTAAATCACGTCTTTGGACAATAGTTCCTGAGTACCTCATTACTCAACCAAAGCCAAAACAATCGACAAGGCTGGAAGTCCACCGTAGCGCGTAACGCAATTGTCCAGCTGCATTACAGCTAGGCACCGCGACAGGGAATAAGATGTATGCATTAGCCCTAGACTTTGTTTGGTGCACGAGTAATTGATGCCAAATAGGATGAAGCTGGGGAAAGAATCTTTTCTCCGTAGGATACTACCAAACACTGGACCAAAATCAGAAGTCGACTTGGAGACGCAGGTCCAACATCTCAACGGGCCGGAAGCATCGCCCTCGTCTACATTTCGCTCCCAAACCTTACAGGCCATCTTTGGTCTTTCAGGAGAAGAAATCAAGAGGTTTCCTGGTATTCAGGCCTACTGCGATCACGTCGAGTCCCAAGTCATACCCCTTACGGACTCGGGATCCTCGCCCATATGGCCGTCTTTATCCAATTCAACAGCAGGCACAGTAACAGACTGTTGGAAGTTTCTGCATGCAGTAGCTTATAACTTCAAGTCAGCAGAGAAGGAAACCAGCATTGAGGATCTCAAAAACCATGTGTCATCTTCAGGAGAGAATGTGAGAGAGTCTTCGGACGCCCTCCTTCTTGCGGCCGTCTTCGCTGCCGTATGCTTGTTGACCATGACTCTTCAACCATCGTTGGATTTCGAACCTTTTGGGGGCCAAATCTGCCTCGCTTGTAGATTTCCAAGCCTTACCGATGAGTCGACTTCGCAAGGTCAAATCGCCAGGCAGAACTTGAGGGAAGCCAAGCGGCCGATCAAACGGGTTTTTGAGTTATTCGAACACAGCGCGTGGGATGATCAACCGACAAGCACGGATCATTCGATAGGAGAACATGATAGTCTATACGAAGGGAGTCTGAATCTTGAGGTTCTGTTGTTCGGGCGTATTAGAATCCAGTGGGTGGACACGCTGAGTGAACATCTCAAGTTCGACCTGGTCAGCCGGCGTCTTTCCATCTTTCGCTTCCCGACATTCTGCGTTCTGTCTGCCCTGCGAAAAGGAGGAAAAGAGTCTATTCCCCTCCTCGAAAGGTAAGTACACCTTGATGGAGTCAACTATCTGATTGCCTTTCTAACAAGGTCATGGACAGCATCAACGAAGGCTTCATGCCGACCACTCCAGAAAATCGATACCAAAAATACGTCACCTTGGAACAAGAAGTCTTGGTCTCCTACCGCCTCCTCTTCGGACAGAGCGCTCGCTCGAGGAAGATCATCAGGGCAGACCTCCAAAGGCTCGAGCAGAGCGGCCAACCTTTCGACAACCTGCTATACACCCTCTGCGGTCCCAAGAAGGAGGTCGACAAACTACCGCGCAGCATCTGGCCGGTGGGATGTAGGGACTTTGAGCAGGAGAAGCTCCTGGAGAGCGACGTCTACAGCGCCCAGAGCGACTTCCCGCGGCTGGGCTATCGCCTGATCAACCTCCAGAGGTTCAGCCTGCGCCAGAAGCCTCGCCGGTTGACGGATCTGTGGAGGGACCGCAGGAATCCGCTGCAGTGGTACACCTTTTGGGCGGTCCTGTGGGTTGGGGGAGCGGGTATTATACTAGCCATCATACAAACGATCCTTGCGGGGGTCCAAGTTGCCAGGTCGTGAAGGGCTGGATGTCACAATCCTTTGGCTAGCAAAGTGATTGCGTTCGTGATCTTACTCGATGTGAACTTTTCAAGGCAACGATGGCGAGAATAGGCTGAACGGGGAAAGTTTCCTGACCTGGGTTCCGTTGCTCAATCTGGAAGATAGAAGTCTTCGCAAGAAGGTTGAAATCAGGATGACTTATCGGCAAGGTTTTGAGAAGCCTCGTGTGGCTTTATCGACCATTGGGCGTTCGCTGATCAGACGACATCGAAACTCAGACCAATAAAATCAGAATTGGAGTCAGACATCCCTCCATTCCTCGGCACTTCCCAGACTTCAAATCACCGCGATACTGTAGATGTCTTTCGTAGTAGACAGGCACTGCCGACTCAAGGGAGTCAAAATGAAGCTTATTCTGACTCGCGCGGTTGCATCCCTCTTTACCTGCCAGCAGCCACTTGGGTACAGCACCCAGAGATCTGGGTCAAGGACCGTGACGCCCACCACCACCTTAATTCACACAAGATTTGCGGGCAATTTCTGAAAGCTACTTATGTAACGACCACGCGTGCACACACACACACACACACACACACACACATGCCTATTCTGACAGAATGTGGAAAGCGACGGCGGGATGACTAAAATACGGGCTTCTTGACTCGTGGAGAATCGACTGTTCTGGCCCATGAGCTGGCTGGCTCTGCACAATCTCACCAAGGTTGCCTCAACATACACGGTATGGAAGGGGGCTCTATTGACTTAATTGCTTTCCATGGCATGGCTTGGCCGCTAGATTGCAGTGAATGAATGAATCCCCTACAAAGTACGTGTCGTGATGGCCCTTTAAATCTCCGTGTCATGTAAGACACTGGGAAATCCGTCATATCCCTGTGTAACCGTGGCTGGGGACGGTATCGAATCCGGCGTCTTGCTTGAGCAAGGACAGCTGAAGATGTGACCCTGATCGCCGATGATGTCTCTGGCGCTCTCTTACCCCAGATCTAGATACCCCCAGATCTTGATGATTCAGGACGCGGAGGTTCAAGCCCCGCACCATTGGGCAGTCATCCGGGTCACTATGTCGGCTCGTGAGGAGGGGTCGGCGTGGAGGTCCCCTCCCCTCCAGCTTGATCTAGTCATCAGCGTGCATGGTCTACAGGGAGATCTTTCGCAGAAAATGAAATCAATACGGGCCCTCGACCCAAGTGGTATCATTTCGATCATAACTCGTAAAACTATTGCTTCGGGTACAAATACACATTTACAGGTTTCGCAGGCCCCTCGGACGTATCAGACGCATCAGAACCAACAAGCGGCCACTGGTCGTCCTCGGCGACCTTTCTCGACCCGTCCATATTCAGCTCCCTCAGCTGAATCCCGTTCCCATCGGCCGTGGGCGTGTACAAGCCGGCGTCGTCCGCGACGTACGGCGTCAAGGAGATCCGCGGCGGATACGTCAAGCTCCTGCCCCTTCCCCCCATCCTCGAGGAAGAGAACGCTTGTGACATCCGGGTGCGGGTGTTGCGTCGCTGCTGATTGTTGCTCATCCTCCTACTATTCCTCTCGCGGAGCCGCCTCGGAACGAGCCGTGCCACCAGGTAATCTCGAAACGTCTTGGTCGTGCCAAAAACGACAAACGTCAGCAGGCTAGCGGACACGCCGGGCAGAAAAAGTATGAGGTCCAGATGCAGTCGTTCCGTGCTGAGGTCCGGGCTCTCGCTCAACGAGTCGCGAGAATTTTGTTTTGCGGATGAAACTTGAAACATAATGGTCACCACCTGAAAGATGCTTTTCGAAGACGAACGAAAAACCACCCGGTTAGCTTCGTTGACCCCATACTACAGACTTTGAGGCTTGGGGGAAACCCCTCTATTTGAGGCTGTACTCACGCTAACGCAACAAAAGCTATGCTGAATCGTACAACAAGCCATCGATCGTAGATACTTCGGCGGCGCGTTTCGCTTCCGCTGTCGAAGACGAGCGTGTCGCTGCTTTTCGTGCTGTTGGAGCGTTGACCATATCGGACATTCCAAGAAAGAAGGTTTCGGCGCGTGTGGATGTATTTGACCAAGATGACAATGAGGAGAACTCCGCTGCCGCTCAGACAGAAACCCACTGGGCAAAGGGTTAGATGCAGTTGATGTACAACGGGGTAAGGAGACTTACTGATGCCATCAGCCAACACTAGAAAGGGCACTGTCTGCTTCTGGACAGCCTCGAGTCGTAAAATTCCCATCAAAATCGCGGGCAACAAGATAGCAGTGGCTTTTTCAAAGTAGTTGACTCGTTTGCGTGTCGACTTTACGGGCTCTAACTGGAAGATCGATTGCGTGAGAGCAACAGCCCAAAAAAAGGTCAGGGCCGCTTCGACGTTGTAACTGTAGAACTCTAGGAGCTTGTCAGAGAAAGATTTGAAATCTGTTGGTGAATTGTATCTTACGGATATAGAAAAGCACCAGGTCCAAACCAGTTGACTGGCCGGCGATGGCAAGCTCAGGATTGCCGATGTTGGCGTTTGAATGCTTGAATTGTGCAAGCTTGATGTCTCTCCATCGTACGATTGTGTGAATTTGCTGGGCTACAGAAGCAGCCGTCGACAAACCAGTGAAGTATGATACCAGTGCGACATCTGTTCACAAGAGCGCACGTCAGTATTCTGAATCACTTCCTGGATCCACAAACCATGACTACTCACAGCTAAGGCCTTCACGATGGGCATACACCAGCCATGCCATGAGAACACTGCATGCTAGGCAGAACAAGGAGTAAGAAAGTACTCCTATAGCTGTGCCTAGCTCTTCTTGAGGCAGCTGGATGGCCATATCACCCCCTTGGATGTTGGCCCAGCAGGCCAGACATGAATACGGAGCTGTTGACCGCAGGCAGGGAACAAGGTGACGGGGGACGAGGAGAAAGAAGAAATTAAGAACTGGGGAGCAAGCAACGGCATGGCCATGTTTATCATGCGGCCCTGAGATCGATCCGCCCCCTGCGATCGACGCAAGGTTGTCTCCCCGGACCCGACTCAAGAGTAATGGAAAGGGAACCCAAGATCGGTCGGTTTGGACATAGGCGCCGACGAACCTTGTTCGGTGCTCGCATCGATATGAGGTGTGCTACGCAGGCGCAGGCGGTTAAATGACGAGATGGGACTTCCCAGCATTCCAGAGACAGGGCAAGGGAGTTTGGGCCGACTTGAGAACCGCAAGCCCCCCTACAGCGTATAGTCGGCGGACTAGAAATGTCTTGGCTGGGGATCCTACGAGGGGGTGGTGGCGGGGCCGCTCGGGATGGTAATGAAGAGTTTTACCTTGTTGTAGGGTGGATAATAAAGGTTGAAACACGATAGTGTACGAAGGCGATCTCCAGAACAATATTACAACCAGGTCGAAATGGCTTCGGAGGCTGTCCATTCGGATATGTCATGGCGAGACAGATGGACATTGTGACGGCATTCTAGCTGGCTTCTGGGTGCGATTCTGGCGGCATCTGCCGACCACAGACTCGGTGGCTGCTTGACCCGAGATGAAAACGTTGGACGCCACGCTCCGTCTAATAGAAGACATCACTAGTTTGCGTGGGTTAGGCCGAAGCAGCAGTGCGCAAGCGTCGTCGCAACTGTTGCAGAATACAAGTCCATAGGCCGACCAAGTGTCAAACTAAAGGCTGCTAGAGGGTAAGTGGCATGGCAACGTACGAGTTCGACCGAACTCTCCGCCTCCCATATTGAGACCAACCACAATTGTCGCTGGGGTTTGAGGCAACGATGGCTCGAAACATGTCTGGTAAGTGGAGGCGCATCCTCGAGGCAAGATTCGTTGCCGACTGAGGGTGTGTGGACGGGCGGACGTTGCGGAGGGGTCTCCCGGACCAGCCTCAACCCGGCAGAGGCGACCGGGCCGATGGGAGGCAACATACTGCGTATGGCAACCTCCAACAATGCGATGCCATTGGGATTCACTGGAGACTGCACTGTCGTCGACAACGAATTCGAGTCAGTCGATGGCTGAAAACACATTTTCCATCTTCTGGAAGACAATCTCCCCTTAACGGAAGGTCCGAACATGTCAGAGTTTCGACCAGTTCGATACGATGCTCATCATATCATCTCATTGTTGAGCTGAGTTCGATGGCAGGGGAGCATGCCGCCTACCGAGTGCTCGGTGCTTGGGCTCATAGAGGGGCAGGGTGAATCCATGGAGGTGACTGGGGCTAGTGGTTTTGTATTAACCTTGGTCCTCCTGAGTCAGAAATGAACACGAAAAAGGCCTTACACCACTGCCCAATCTAGCCCGAGCGACGGACGTGGCTTCGGGTGTTGGACCCAAGAAGGCAAGCAGCGAAATCCTAGTGCTAAACCAAAAAGCAGGTTTAGTCGCGGAGGCGCAGATTGTTGAGATGAAAGGTCGACGGCGTGTGGTGTCAGTCCTGCCATTCCTGCTAGATGGAAGGTTGCTGAACGTCTGCCGCGACACAATCTTGGATCTAAGGCATATCGAGTCTGCGTAACGGTCGGACCACTCCCACGTGCTGATGAGTGAGCCGGCTCCAATGAAGAGCGAGTGCGAGGTCGTCGAGATTGTATTAAAGCTGAACCTTGGAGGGATCCCGGCGGATGTGAGTATGATCGGCAGTCACAGCAAAGTGCCGTGTCGTCGGCATGTGGCGTCTTCGTCTTGTAAGCTTGTGAGAGAGAGCAAGGTTCGTTCGCTGGAATGAACTTCAGCTGCTGCCCAAAGGAGCCATGCACACCATGCACTCTGCAACCTGCTGCCCAGCAAGAAGGTTGGTGTTCAGGGGTTAAAGGATCTGGAACTCCACTCGGAGCGAGGATCCCGTTCAGAATGGACCCAGAGCCACGGAGAGGCCCTGCCCGCTGGCCGATGCGCAGTGCAATTTGGGAAAGGAAGATCTCATTCCAAGAAGATGGAAATTCTCCGGCGAAGTACCGCAGCCTGCTCCCAGCCACTTTGTGGCTCACCAACAGTCTCCACTCTAACTTCCTCTCAAGTCTCCATGTATCCGTACTTTGGTGGAAGTTAGGGTGGGGTCCCCAGAAGCTCTGGCTTTCAATTAATTCTTCGCCAGCGAAGCGCGTCCCGGTCGCGTCTAGAGGCATTCCCCCGCGAAAACCTTAGCGACTCGCAAAAGCCTCTAGGACATTCCAACTACGGCCGTTATGACACGCTGTCAAACCCCCAGATACACGATTCAGTCTTAAGCCTTACCACGCCGAAATGAACATTGTCCGAGAACACTACAACGATGGCAACCGTGCCTTCCTTCAAGCCTTCCTGGCTCGGGGCACCCTCACATACGAAGACGCACAGCCTATCCTAGCCGGAATCTTCACAATCGAAGCCCAAGATGGCGAGCCAGTCGCCCCCGAACAGGTCACGATGGAGGACTTCGACTCTTACCTGCAAGCTGCAGCCGAAGGCGTCTCATTCTTTGACTACGAGATACGAAGCACGATCCATCAAGTCACCAAGAAGCGCATCTACGCTCTCGTGAACACCGCCTCCGACCCCATGACGCAGCTGGCGACTACATACAATGCAGAACAGATTGCCTTTACAAAGAGGCTATTGGACGCCATGTTCGAGACATATAACTCCCCGCGCATGGAGCTCATGTGCATCACGGAGATGCAGGCTATTAAGCTGGCCCGCCCTCCTCGACAGAACGACAATCATAACGACGAGAACGGAGAACCCACGCAGACGCAGTCTTCCTCCGACAAAGGACTCAAGCACAGCGAAGTGGAAGACATGCTAGCGAACCTAGTGAGCCAGGGTTGGTTAGAGAAGTCCAAGGACGGGTTCTACAGCCTCAGCCCACGAGCACTGCTTGAGCTCAGGGCATGGCTGATTGACTCGTTCAACGACCCCGACGCGGCCGCGCAAGATTGGCAGCGCATCAAGTTCTGCGAGGCGTGTAGGGAAATCGTCACAGTCGGACAACGGTGCGCGGAACGAGACTGCAACGCGCGCCTGCACAACACATGCCAAGAAGGTTACTGGCGCACTCAGCGGAGTCACAAGTGCCCCAGGTGCTCAAAGGATTGGGATGGGGAACACTATGTTGGAGAGCAGGCTATGACCAGCACAGAGGCATATCAAAGGGGCCGTCGGAGGAGTGGAGGTGGTAGGAAGAGTAATGCGGCAGACGAAGCTATGCACGAAAACGGGGAGCATGGAGACGAAGAAGAAGACGACGAGGATGAGCCATGATGAAGCATAGAAAGATGTGGAAGCTCTGCCCGCGGGATGCGATAGGCAGTTTCCATAAAAGATACCCCACGATGGCGGCTAACTCAGCCGAACCACTCAATATTTACCAATAGCACACAATACCTTACATAACGCCCAGACAGCTGTCAAAGGGGACTGGATGAGCCGCAATGCTCTTAGAGGTTCTTCATTTGTCCATACCAGCCCCAACAAAAGAGGCGAATTCTGAACGGGTGATCAATCATGCTCTTCCATTGGATGCCTCCAGCGCAACCTCAAACAACTGGACCGCTCTTAAGCGAACCGGCAGCTGGATCCGGATCTCCACTCTTGTCCATGGCACCGCCACATCGGAGGCCGCTGCAAGGGTGACATCACATGTGGCTGTGTGAGCTACCCCCCAGCTTGCCCGCTCAACCAATCTAACACATGAACTTGGACGACGTGACGCCGCATGATAGAGCGCAGGGCCCTGGCCCAGACCCAGACCGCATGTGATTCAGAACAAGCGCTTGGCCGTTGCAATTAAATAAACCTGTTCCGACCGCCTCATTACAACGCTCTTGCATCTTCTTCCAGGAAACTACAACTTCTTTGCCGTGATTCTTTGTTGACAGCATATTGGATTACAGAACTTGTCAACCAGTACGCCACCCTTAGACTCTGTTGGTTTCTCCCCAGAGAAACCTAAACTTCGTCGCCCAAGATGTTGGAATACCTGAGCTACAAGAAGTTCAAAAAGTATAAGACGGAGAAGGAGGCAAAGGAGGCGGCAGCAGCAGAAGGCGAGGTGCAACACAACAACAGTTCGCCAGCACCATTACCATCACCAGGCAAGCTTCACCCAGACTCGCGACCATCAGCCACAAGGCGCCAAACGAGCTCGCAGTCCGTCTCGACAACAGCAAGCGCAGCTACCGGAGGCGGAGGCCCCGCGCCCCTCCTCAACCGCAAAGATGAGGCCTTCTTCAGACGCATCCTCGCCGATGCCAACGACGTCGACTCGGATGACGAGAGCGTCCGGCCCGCTCTGCCCCCGCGCAGCAAGACGCCAGAGTACATCTGGGAGGACTCTGATGGATCCCGGCGCACCGCTGCCGCCACTGAGAAGCAGACGCCCAAGAAAGCCGCGACAGTAGCGGTAGACCCCAAAGACGCAAATGCCCCGGGCAGCAGTTCCAAAATCCCCAGCAAGATCGCCTTCCTCTTCAACAAGGCCAAAGGCACCCTCGACGACAAGGACAAGCAGCTCGCCCCGACAAAGGCAAACGTCCCTCCAAAGGAAGCCGCCCGCGAAGAAGACGACCTCTCCCGCGTCCTCGACGACCTCAACCTGTCAGCGCGTAACAACAAAGCCGTGCCCTTATCCGCAGAATCCTCCGAGCTCGTCTCCAAATTCACCCTCGTCCTAAAGGACCTCGTCAACGGCGTGCCCACCGCCGCGGACGACCTCAAGGCCCTCGTCGAGGACCGCGACGGCACCCTCGCAAAGACGTTTGACAAGCTCCCCAACAGCATGAAGAAGCTTGTCACCCAGCTCCCGGACAAGTTCACCGCCAGCCTGGGACCCGAGGTCCTCGCCGCCGCCGCGAAAGCCCAGGGCGTCAACCACGCGGAGTTCGCCGCCGAGGAAGGGATCAAGGGCGCCGCGAAGAAGATGTTCACGCCCACCAGCCTCGCGGACCTTGTCACCAAGCCGGGCGCCGTCGTGGGCATGCTCAAGGCCATCGTCAACGCTCTCAAGCTGCGCTGGCCCGCCTTCATCGGCGCCAACGTCATCTGGAGCGTTTCCATTTTTCGTAAGTCTTTTCTTCCCCCTTGACTAGTCTTTCATCTTCAAGAATCAGGGGTAGAATGCTAACATGATTCCCCTCAAACAGTCCTCCTCTTCGTCCTGTGGTACTGCCACAAGCGCGGCCGCGAAGAACGCATCAAGCGCGAAAACGCGCCCGAAATCATCGACGGCTCCGGCCGCATCGAGGAACTCCCCGATGACCCGGCCCTCATGGCGGGTCCCTCCCGCTCGCGCACCGAGCCGGTGGTGCGGTCATCAGATCGCCCGCGCAGTCAGCGCAGCGAACGCAGCCGGCGGAGCGGGCGACACAGCTCCGGAAGGACGACGCCTCAGCGACGGGCGTCGCCGGGCCCCGATTCCCCTAGACGGAGGTCGACCAGGAAATAAATAGGTGTCGCGTGCTCTGGAAGTTGACCGACCTTTTGTTTCCTTTTCTACAATTCTCTTATCTTAATGACCCTTATGGCTGGCGTATCCTTTTACTTTGCGACGAATGATAGGAACGACGTATGAATGGAATGGACAGGCAAAGGATGAGAACGAACCACGTGATGAAAGGGTGGATATACATTCATTCTCGTTCTATATTTTGATCATCCTCTATACTCTGGAAAATTAAAAACCCTGTATGTAGAGAGAACATTTTCCCTACCCAATGTTTGTTACCCAGTGATAGTTTTAATGTACAGCTATGAATTGGAATGCAAAGACCTTCATGATAGCAAAGTCTGTCTGGGTATCTTCCGGAGCGCAAAACAGAAAAAGAACTGCCTACTGTGTCTCACAACATTGCCTCCTCCATCGTGGAGGTAGTCCCCTTAATCGTCCTGAACCAACTCCTTAATCTCTTCGCGTCCACCAGCCGCAAGACTGCCCGTCTGGCCGGCCTTCTCACCTCCTTGACCGAAGCGATCAATGACTTTGCAGCCATCCTGTACCCAAAAGTCAACTTCGTCAATAATGTCATAGACGATATCTTCGACAATCTGCTCCGTGTACCGCTCCGAGACTGGCCGCACCTGGTCCAGACCAGGGTACGCAGGCACCGATGACGATGACGGTGCTGCCTTCTTGGATTCTTCCTGTCCCGCGTCGATCATGGACACCTCATTGTCGTCGGAACTCTCTTCTAGCCCGGGAGGCGGGAACCAAAAGTCGGGGCCAAAGTTGACCTCGGCAGCACCTCCTCTGAAGACGCTCACGGCGGGATAGTAGCCGAGCATGCCGTTGTCGAGGCCCTCGCGAGCGCCAATTTGCCCCTGCGGCTTGGAGGCCGGGGGCAGGAAGGCGAGAAGGTCGGTGAACGGGGTGCCCATGAGCACGCCGTTCTTGTACACCTTGATGAAGGATCCGGGAAGCGTACGAAGAGCAGGGACGACGTGATTGGGGTTGGGCGGTTCGACCGAGTTGGCGGGGCCGGAGGAGACGGGCGAGGGGTTCATGAGGTCCTCGAGCTCCTTGGTTGTGTGGTAGTCGATCTTCTCAAAGTAGATGTGTGACTTGAAGCGAATGGGAATACGGTCGCGGACAATATTGGGCGCATCAAAGTTTGTGCTGTCATCGTCCAAGCCGGTATCGACGGCCGGGTTGTACTGACCAGCCAGGACCTTGCGCTGCAGCCGTTCTGAAGGCAGCTGAATCTCTAGGCCAATGACATCGCCCTCTCGGATTCCCTCTCCTTCGGGGAAGAAGGACTTGGGTCGTGACATGTACACCTTCTCACCACCAACGTCGCGTAAGCCGTAACTGTATGCGTCGAAACCAACCGGCGCATCCAAAGTCGCCTCTCTTCTCGCGAAACCCATGCGCACGTGGCCATGCGACTCGGGCTTCTCGTCTCCGCTTGTCTTGTCGACAATTCCTCTTGTAATCTTGGTCTCCCAGTAGAACCGTCCCTCCCGTATGGCGACGTTCGCGCGCGTCATGCGGAAGCCCTTGTTGGTCGTAATATGAAGGCCCTTCTGGTCAAAGAACAGATGAGTTGCGCTGTCTTCGAAGCTGAGATGAGGCCCTGTGGGCTCTGCTTCGGTACCGCGGTAGTATAGCGCTGAGGGGAACCCGGGGTCCGCTATACAGTGAGTGTAGTGGTAGCTTTTCTTATTGTGGACACTTTGGTCTCGTTAGCATCTTTAGTCAGGCGCATTCCGCTGTCGGTAAACTCACTGCTCCGACGTCTCGTAGAACTGGATCTCGCTTCCATCCAAAGCAGGGACATTATGGTGATGAGTGAAGCTGGCGCCGCGAGCAGGTTCAAAGTCGGAAGGCTTAGGAGGCGCCAGCTTGTAGCGCATCGGACTGTAGTCGGACTGCTTAGGTTCGCGATGCTTGGGGTCCGGTGTGCCGCGGTTGCTGTCGCCGCCAAAGGCGCCCTTGGACTCGCGCTTCTTCAGCGACTCCTTCTTGTTGCGCTTTGCTGGCATCTCATCGGCGCCTGGAGGTTTCGGTGTAGATCTAACGTCGGGATTGAGTGGCGAAGGAACAGAAGGAGTAAAGTCTTCTTCGAGAGCAGGTCTCTTCAAGGGGATCGCAGTCGAAGATGGAAGGGAGCCGCCCGGGGTCGGCTCCCGTGGAGGAGGAGGTGTGCCTGAGTCAGAGGCCATTGGAACGTCTATTCAATTCGAACGTGAAGTTTCCTTGTGTATTCAAGCCGTGAAAGCGGGTGCGTGGTTGGGTCGGTGCTGCGGTGGGTGGAGGAGTGGTGAACAATGGAAGGGTTTCGAGGTCTTGGTGTCGCGAGGCGCGTGTTTCACAGGTCGAAATTTTGGGAGCTGCACCAGGGAAGCTTCAGCACACCCCGCGTCAGCCATGGAAGCTCGGTCTGTCGTCACGCAGGGGGGGGTCTTAGCGGGTAGCCAGGGGTCTAGTTCCTCCCCGGGCCATCAATAGGTACTTGGGCTAGAACCTGGCGGGGCAGGCAGGTACGGCAGGTTGCTGCATATGACACCTAGCTGGAGCTTGGTCATCCCAGAGAACCAACCTGGAAAGCTTACCTTATTACAGCCTCTCTCACATGTCTTTCACAAGAGGTTTTGTTTGGTGCTTTTTGAGATATACTCCAATAGCTATGTACCTTGTCATAACTTCTGCCTCAAGTGAGCCTTGTGATGATTCACTCTCTTTGAGAACAACGACTTTAGGCCACCACATCGCACACACATTGACTTTGGCTCTTTGTAAATCAGATCAGCACTTGAAGTGAGACTTGTCTTTCGCTCTATCAGCTCTCTATCGGACACCATGTCCCTTCTACTATGCCTTCAAACGCCAGTCCCATGTTTATCCTTACAAAGTGTACAGAAGGGGTTGTTTGTACAATGTTTTGTTTTTTCTCCATCCAACCCTGGTATCACCCGTTTCCAGCCCAACCTCCAAAACCTCCTTAGATGGCACGCTCCTGCTCTTCCACTGGTGGATCCCAAGTCTCTAATGACTTGAGAATACGTTGGTACAAGAACAGCATGGTGCCGCTCTGAATAAAAGTCCAGACACCACGGGGACCCACGCCCCTGAACCATCCGCTAATCCCCTCGGTCTGGTAAATGACTTTGAGACCTTCAATGACGGACGAGGTCTGTAAGTTGACCGCGCCTGGTCGCGGGGTATGCGTCGAGGGCGACGACGTTGAAATGTGGCGCGTCTGGGATTTTGACGTTGAGGCGTGCGCAGCGCCCTTGGCCACCGGCTTCATCTCCTTGGGCAACAGATCAGGGTGTACCTGCGTCTGCAAACGCGTCTTGACGACATCCAGAGGACATGTCATGATACCGGCCAAGCTGCCGGCGAGACCGCCGGTAAGGAGCTCCAGCGGTACGCCAACATCTCTGCTCTGCTTGTAGGTGCGTGCCCAGGCGTGGAATTGTTCCCAAAACATAAACTGAAGTGCTGAAAATGGGAGGTCACGGGCCAGTGTTGCTTGGTAACCGTGGAAGAGCGCAGCCGGTCCCTCGTGACGGACAATCGTCCGCGCCGCATCAACGGTTCCTCTGTAGTTGTAGCCCGATTTGAAGTAGGGATTATTATACCGTCCTTGCAACTGCAAGCGGGTCTTTAACACCTCGGATGGAACGTAAACGATGGAGCCGGCTAAGTCTCCAAGAAAGCCTTGAAAACAGTCAGTTAGTTAGTGTCTCTCAACAGCACAGCGCAAGGATCGACGAACCAGCTGTGAGGTAGGCCAGGTGCTGTTGCACACCATGGTCGATCAGAAACCGTTTGCTCCATTCGTACGTCCCAAAAAACATCATCGTGCCCGGAAGGGAACCACCCAAAGCCGGTATCCATCCGCCGTAAAGACCTCGTCGGACGCCCTCTTGCCGTAGTATCTTGTAGTATGACGAGCCCAGAGACGTGTATTTTGGCGGTATGTGCGGGTCTCCCTGTTGCCGCGTCTTGACCGTGTCCAGGGAGTGCATGAGCATGTCGCCCGTTGAGCCTCCAACGCCTCCAGCAATCATGGCGTGGAGGTAAGGCGGGCGGCCCTCCTCTTCGAAAGAGTCATCTTGGAGACTCATATCCTCCTGTCTAAAAGATTGTCCGACTGTTCTGATATCCGGCAAAAGTCCTCCCGTCTGTACCGCATATCTATCCTCCTCGAACGAGGCCGCCGCCGCCGGGGTCGAAGCCGAGATGCCCCCCTGAATCGTTTGCGCGTTATTGTCGGCAGGAGCTAGGGAGCTGACGATGCGGTCAGCGACGGACATTTGCGAGTGGTGCCTGTCGTTGTTTGACCAGGCACTCTCTGGTCTGCGTCAAGGGTGTCGGTCCCTCTCGGTCCTGAAATGCTGACGTCGGTCGGTTTCGATGTCGAAGGGGGGAAAGAGATTCGCGGTTGGGCACTGGTGCGTTCCCGCTGCGGGACGACAGAAGGAATGACGCAGTGAATGGGTTTCGAGGGGAAATTGAAGGAGAGGCCTCCTCGTCGTTGATTGTCGCGTGGGTTAATTGGCGCAGTCAAAAACTTGGCGGCGGCGAGGAGGAGCAGCAGCTGCAGATAATGATATCGAAATTTCATGCAGGGTTCCCGACTCTGGGAATTTTTGTTGGCGGTGCACAGACCACATGCAATGCTGCACTCCCGCTGCGTCACCGTCGGGTGAGCTCCCGTCTCTTTCTTTCATCAGCTGCAAGTGTCGACTGAATCAGCCGGACCTAAGGCCCTGAGCTGAAAGCCCGGTCCCGAGAGCTCCGAGCTGCAACGCGGGACAGCCCGCGCCGCTTCAAAGATGGCGGGATTTTGAATTGCCCGGACTTAAGAAACCAGATATTCCAATCGTCATTAGAAACAATCTGTAGTACTCAAATGGGAGTTGAATTTGAAGGCACCCAGTCGTTGACCAATTACCTCATGGTATACATAAACTTTTGATGACCCTGTAACCCAAATCCAGGACTCTCTCAGTGTCCCGCTCACATGCTTATTCATACACGAAGCCATTCGCGCTTCAGTATCTATCCTTGAATTTGTGCTCTTCCCATTTCACGCGGCCAAACTTGCGCCAAGGCCAGATATTCCATATGCATTTTCCTGTCACCAGCGCCATAGATATCGGACCGTACGTATTACTGTCCAGCGTCTGATCTTGTGGCCCATCTCCCTCCACCCAAATATGGCCCTGCGGCACCCTGACCACTCTCTCCGGATATGGTGCTCTTGTCGTGACATATTCACCTTCCAGCGCGACGACTCTCTTGATCGCTACGGTCTCGGGATGAAAAGGGCTCCTGCAAAAAGCAAGCAGTAGGTTAGCTTGCCATCCGGCCTTTTACTGTCATAATCGGGGGGTACGGCCAGTGAAAACACACCTAAACGTGACAATCATGCCTCTCTGAAGCCCATAGGAGGGTTTCCACCTCCAATTGAGCACCATGTCATTTGCAATCGTCTTATTGCGATCCTCGTTATAGTAGGGGTACATGGAGCCGCCGCTGATGCTCGTGATGGTCGCAACATGGTCGTTGAAGGTAATCACGACCGGGATCCAGGTCGCAAGCCCGAGCAGGCGAAGCGTGGTGTCACCGAGGAAGCTCCCTCGTGCGCGCGCCCATAGCGAACGGGCAGCCATGGGCGCAAAATATTGTCAGGTTGTCGCGGAGGTTTGCCGCGCTGTGACTTGGGAACAGCGCCTTCTGTCCTGTTGCAGGTGAAATCGTCGCGAGGAAGGTTTCGAGCTCGCCTTCATCTCATGGTGTTATCTAATCTCTTATCTTATCAGTCTCACTACCAGGAAGCAACTACCTATATCTCAGACTTTCGTATATTCATCATACAATGCGACGTTTCTCAAGCTGATAATCTCACGAGAAGTTTATTCTTTAGAATCTCACATAGTAAAGAGACGACACTTAAACATAGGTGATGAATGAGTAGCAACATTGAGCTCAAAGGTGCCTACCATATGGGGCGCTCTTTCGTCTCCTTGCTTAGGTTCTATTGCTTGCGCCCCATCTTCTATTTATGCATGCCTTTATCAGTCAGATTGTATTCATTCAAAATGCTCAACCTTTAAAACAAAATCACCAAATCCCCAGCACATACGTTTAATAACAAGTAGCATAGATATAATCCAAACCTAAGAGTAGGCTGTGGGCGTGATTGAATCTTTTGATTGTTGAACTTAAACGACTCCACCACCCAGCCAGTTTGACCTGACCCGTCGACCTAGACGGGCGCCTCCTGGCTGGTGACCGAAACAGAATTGGAGGGGCCTGTTTGGGCTTCCTGTGTGTATTCAGGTGTAATCGGGTGATAGGAAAGTTATCGTATGAAGGTTTGGTAGGGCGGTATCTAGTGTAGGTAGGATGAGCTTCTAGTCGTTGTTGCCCTCCAGTATCTCGTCTTGGGAACTGCGCGCTCGAGGACCTCCAATGGAAGCCTTGGGAGCATCCATCCTTATGCGGGAGGTTGAACAGCTCGATCATCGAAACAATGCTGACGCCCGCCCCGACGAGATAACAAATCCACGACCATCGGTCCCACAAGTGGACTATGCGAGTCCGGCCATCGGAGGACAACTTTACTGGGTGAGATCACTGACATTTGCTCTTTGATGAGCCGTCCTGTTGTGTCCGGAGAAAGCTGTTGTCATCAATTGGGTTGATTATGGTAGACATATTCGTCTTCTCGCTAAGTGTCCCAGCTTGTGCTAAGGCCAGCCATACATCGTATTTATAGGAACGGGCCATTCCTCTCATAGTATCATCAGTCCGTCGCTCACTCACAATCAGCCAGGGGGAATGATTTTGAAATGTTTAGACTCTTTTTTGGTCGTCTCATTAGAATCACTCTGGATTCCCAGCCTGCCAGTACGCTCATTCTACCAGCCGCCCCTTTTTTGTTGTGATGACGTTGACTCCAAAGGAAAAATCTAAACCTCCGGGTTGTCGTCGCTCTCAGAGACACTCTCGTCACCGCTGACCTCGGCGTTCTCGCGCTCCCTCTTCTCCATGAGAGCCTGCAGCTCGGCGTCGTCGCTCTCCGTAACGGCCTTGGGCTCCATCTTCACCACCAACGAACCGCCCGCAGCCTCGATGCTGTTGCGAATCTCGACAATGGCCTCCTCGAGGCGGGTGATACCGAGGTTCTTGTCCAGGCACGTGCTGGTCAGAACGTACAGAGGGGGGGACACGAGTCTGACCTTGACCTGGGTCTGGTCGTCGTTGCGCGCCTCAGCGGTGCGCAGGGCGTTCTTGACGGCGTCGATACCCTCGTATCCGAAGCAGGTGACCTCAACGTCGGCACGGACCTTTGTGGGTTGAGGGGTGAGACGCTTCGCGATATATGACTTCAACTCCTCGGAGACGGCCTCGCTGGGGAAGGTGGCGTCGTTCCAGACCTCGGCGTTCCTATCCTTACGCATCAGTATTCTTAATCCCTCTTGCTATAACGAAACATAGTCCTCAACTCACGTGATAGACAGCTTGAAGGCGTCAATCGCATGGCCGTACTTCTTGTTGAGGGGCCATGCGATGGTCTCGTAGAGCTGCTCGATCGGGGTAAGGGTCTTCTCGGCGACATGGCGCATGATGGAGTGGACCATCTTGCCCTTGTTGTACCGCTCCTCGCACTTGATGATATCCTCTGGCGACACACGACGCTTGGAAAGATCGATATAACCCTTCTCCTTGTCGACACGAAGGACGACGACAACCTCGTTGCGGCCCACACGGATGAGCTTCTGGATACTTCTGATACGACGTCTCGAAAGTTCGGAAAGCAGAATCATGCCGTCAATGTTGTCGTACTCGAGAAGCTTGACGTAGGCACCCATCTCGGCAATCTATATCACCAGTCAGACCCGTATGTTCCCTCTCTCTCGCTCTCCTGTACCCTTCATATCCACGGCGACCGGGTGGGTTGGGGCGGTTCGGTTGGCCGTGTGCGTTGGGCCGGCGGGGCACAAACCTGCTTGACGTTGACCATGACGAACTCATCGATTTCGGGGTACTTGTTTTCGAAGTATCGAAAGTGACTGTAGTTCGGTTCCGCCATCTTGGCTACTGGTGCTCGATGTCGTCGAGTACGAAGGGTGGTGGTGGCGGTTGGGTGGTGTTGTTGAAGGTGGTCGGCCAACAGGTGTGGAGGGGCGGGGTGCGAAAGAAGGTGCGCGGGCTTTTAACACGTCCTTCCGGTCTTTGAATAGCTTGTTTCCTCTGTGCTCGGTGGAGATTCGGCCTACTCGTCGGTCTTGATATTGCTTGCGGTAGAATTACTTGCTCGGGGGCGACGTCGAGAAGCGAAAGAAGCGGCCTTTTGGGTGTGAGCGGCGTTACGTTGGCGATTGGGCAGTCGAGTCACAATTTTGCTACTGCGGTTCACAAATCGCAGAAATCCGAACAATGGTGGGGGGTGCTTTCGGGGCGGTAGTCCATGGCAGAATTGGTGCTGATTCGACCGATAAGCTCTGCTTCGCTTATCGCCACGTGAGCGCCCCTCCAACCAAATTGTTCAGGTAAACAGACCCCAGAAGCTAACATCCAGGTACACCCAGAGCTGCTTGTTGTTAGAGGCGCATTGAGCTACTTCACCGTAAGAGCTTCAACAACATCAGAACAATAACCCCAAAAATGGCACCTGGTGAGTTTTCAGGGGATTTCGACCTCAAATTTCGCTCCAATAACATTGGCTAACTACTAATGCTTCAATAGCATCCCAATTCGAGCTGGCGCAACCGCCTAGCGACGCCATCTCCTCGCTTTCATATGCGCCCGAGTCGCCTACCAGACTCCTGGTGTCCTGCTGGGACAAGAAGATCTACCTCTACGACACACATAGCGGAGGCGAAGATGCGCCAGGCGTTCTCATCAAAGCCATTGAGTTCCGGGCGCCTGTCCTGGACGTAACCTTTGGCGCGACGGATAACGAGGCCTACGCGGCGTGTTTAGACCACTGCGTCTACAAGTATGGCGAACCATGAAGCTCCCACTGGCCATTGGACGAAGCTGACGCTTTCTATCTAGGATCGACCTTGAGACAGAAGAGAAGCAAGTCATTGCGCAACACGGCGCGCCTGCACGATGTGTAGTCTACAGCCCAGAGCACTGTGAGTGATGTCACAGCTATGCCAACCTTTGGCCGCGCCGTTCTGACCAACCTTACAGCTCTCCTCATCTCCGCCTCTTGGGACCTCACCCTCCAGATCCACAACGCAAAGTCGCCCTCTGACACGAACATCACCGTCCAGCTGCCCGGAAAGCCTCACGCCCTGGCAGCCAGCCCCTCAAAGGTCGTCGTCGCCATGACCGCACGTCTCGTTAACATCTACGACCTGACCAACATCCCCGCCCTCTTCGCCGAGCCCGGCCCCCACGACATCAAGCCCTGGCAACAGCGCGAGTCGTCGCTCAAGTTCCTCACCCGCGCCATCTCCTGCATGCCCAACGACGCCGGCTACGCCACTAGCAGTATCGAGGGTCGCGTCGCCGTCGAGTGGTTCGAGGACTCGGCCGAGTCCCAGGCTCGCAAGTACGCCTTCAAGTGCCATCGCGCGGCTGCGCCTGATGGCGAGGGCGATATCGTGTACCCGGTCAACGCCATGACGTTCCACCCCGTCTACGGCACCTTTGCCTCGGGTGGTGGTGATGGGACGGTCGCCTTGTGGGACGCCGAGGCCAAGCGCAGGATGAAGCAGTACCAAAAGTTCCCCGATAGCGTCGCGGCTCTAGCTTTCTCCAAGGATGGCAAGTACCTTGCCGTTGGTGTCTGCCCGGGTTTCGAAACAGGCATGGAGGACTATAGCGCTGAAGGCAAGGCAAGCGTGTTCATCCGTGAGCTTGGCGAAACGGAAGCCAAGGGCAAGGGTGCGAAGTGATCGACTACGGCCTTTAGGAACCTGTGATGGAATCTTACAAGACTTGTGGGCGCACGGCGTTTGAGGTGGTTTACATATGCAAGCATTTCATTTTAAAGGACTGGGAGGGTTACGGAAAAGCCTGGTATCTATTTTATCAGATGATACCCATGGTATTGGGTGAGAAGCGTGGCTGTTGATAAATCTTGGTAGTCTCCATCAAGCTAATTCTCCCGACAGTCTCCCAGCGGGGAAGCTTTGTACACAATTACGATGATCAAGCATGCCTCCATATTCTTCGCATTCCTGAAATCCGCGTGCGTACCCACATCTCCATTGTGTTGCTATTTAGCAACCAGGTGCGCCTTGTTCTTGTTTTCCACAACTCTGCTTTTCGCTGGAAACGGTTCCATTGGGACGTGGTCTAAGGTCTGTGAATGCGCCAGTCCAAACCTATTGTCCGTGTAACCCAGCCAGCGACCAAGCCTTTGGGATTTCTCCAACTACATATGATTCCCCGGTGCTCATGAGACCAAGGGGTTTCTTACTTCCAGTATCTGGCTTCATCTTAGTCATGGTGTCGGCCGGTGTTGTACTGTCTGTTGCTGCCAGCTAATTCGTACCCAGCTCGTCGTCAAAAACGTCGCCGACCAGCGCTGTGGCTGAAGCCACCCGCGAGAGGCTTGATGCGCCTACGTGAGAATCGCCACGGGAGACTGCGCTCGCTCGGTCCGACTGTAAGGCGGCGTGTCTTGCGGGCTCGATCTCTTCTACATCGTCAGATAAGATGAACAAGTTACCGGAACGGTGTCTCGATCTTCTATGCCGTGGCAATACTTCGATGGTTCGGAGGGATGGCAAGACTCTAAGGCTTCCGGAATCCTCGTTGATATTGTTCCTCTTGGTGTGGTGGAAGTTATTCGAAGTTGCCTCTCCTGGAGACTCTGGCGTCGCCAGTAGATCGACTGCTTTAGATGAAGCCCTGACTCTGGTAATCCCTTGTAGATCAGGATCGATAACAAATCTTTCGCGCATCCTCGTATTCTTTGTATTGCTTCGAAATGATGCAGATTCGATGCCGCAAGATACCGAAAGGGAGCCTATTCCAGGCGGAGCGGGTGATCTTTTTCTCCGCTTCGTGCTCTGTAGCTTGCTGAAGCCGTTGATTTCTCTTGTATCAAAGCCATCCCTGATACTCTGACACATCGGCACCTGGGATCTCTCCGGTGCCGGTAACATTTTGTAATTATCAATGGTCATCTTCGTATGGCATCTCAAGGACGGCATTCCGCGCTGTCTCTTGAGGGGGCTTGATATCTTTGGCGCAGATGACTGATATTGTCTTTTCACCGGCACATCTACTGCGGGATCCCATGCTGGCCAAGCTGTCAGAAAAAATCGCCTTCCATCGCATGAGACTTGCCTTCGTTTCGATCGAACCGACTACTCGATTTTGGGAAAGGTGAAAAACTATAATCAGAGTCGAGGGGCGTGGCGGGCATGGTGCTGCCCATTCTCTGAGGCGGTGACTCGCCAATTGAAAAGCTTTCCTCGATGCTTGGGAGCGGAGAGCTTTCGTCGTGAGTGACGAACTCCCACTTGTCGAAGTTCTGGTCTGACTCCTCGACCTTGACTGTTACCCCAGAAAGGATGTCTGGGTTGATGCCTTGTGGAAAGCCCGGCAGGCTTCGTCTGGCGTCGTTGACTGCATGCAATATTCTAGGGGGCTCTGATTCGAATGTTTGCCTTCTGACGAATGTGAAAATATCCTTCGAAGCCGACATAGCCTCCTGAAGCCTGTCACCTTAATCAGCTAGCTCTGGGAGGCAGGCTTCTAGACTCACGGCGACATGATTGAATAAGAATCAAACAACGTACGGCTTGGTAATCAAGACAAGTGGGAGGGAATATGTTAAAATATTGACAATTCAGAATTGAAACAGGGGTTAGACCGTGGCGGGAAGTGCTCAAGATTGCTTCACAGGTAGGTGCCAGGTGATGAGTTGTTCGCCCGAGGAAAGAGCGAGTGATGGAGCTACTGCTCCTGCTTTCTAAGTAAAGTAAGGAAAGTACCTCCTGCGATACTCCACGTTATGCCTTCCTTGCCCGTGCTATGACAACAGGCACCAGAGCCATTGCTTTCTCACGTGGCCAAGTCCTCACGGTGGGTGCTGATTTGAACCCATCTTAGGGATTGTTTGAAAAGCAAGTCGATGAAAAGCCGTGTAGTTCTCGTCTAATTGTACTAAATGGATGAGAACTCACCATGTATTTTCTTCACACGTCCTCGATATACTATTGTTTACCTGATTCCGGTGAATCTCCCTCATGTAGACTTCTTGGGGTACTATTATCATGTGCTGGTTCTGGCGGATTGTATGGAATGTCGCAAACCACGCATACATCACATGAATGGGAACAATATTTCGAGTTTCCAGGCGCCAGCCTTGACCAAATCTCTTCGGAAATAATTCGCTGAAAGCCAGGAACTTCAGTCAAGGATCTGCTTCGTCCCTGCATAAGCGATGCGGAAAGAATGCATGGTGATTGGCGTCTAGGCAAAGTAAGCTGCATGATACACTGCAGAGCCTCAAACAGACCGATGATAGTTCCAGGAGCAACGGGTTTTCAGATTTTGACTAGGTTCAGTATCTCAAACTGGATCAGAACCTGGCCAGAAACGTGTATGAAATTGTACTTGAACGGCAGCTAAGCAGCGGTTACGGTAAACCATGTCGCTTTGAACAGCCTCTCAGTAATCCATCGGCCGCCACCTTTTGTACTGATTCCGCACTCGATAGTACTACTTTCCGCCTTCCTTGGGTGCGATAGCCTTGGGCTCTGGTACATAGTCGAAGGTTCCTCCCATGTTCAACAACCAGACTTCGCCAGGGTTCGACGGGACCTTCTCTCCCCATAAGAAGTTGTGGGGGAAGCCCATATCGAACGGCACAGCTCCTTCGATCTCCTGAATTTCTTCATCAGAGAGATCCAGGGCTAACGCCTCGATGTTTTGCTTCAGATGATCGACGGTGCGACCGCCGACGATGGGGAAGACGTAAGGCGTCTTTTGCATGACATAAGCCAAAGCAACACTCGTGATGATTGTGCCTTTGCTGTTGGCAATCTTTTCCAGCACCTGACTGATCTTGATTTGCGCTTCGCTAGCCTGAACTTTGCGGCCCTCCTGGGACTTGCGTTGCTCTTCCGTCTTGAAAGCCTGTTTCCAAGTTAGTCGTTGTCTTCTCTAATCAGCTAACATTGAGTTGGGAGCACTCACGCCACCGCCGAGCGCGCCCCAGGGTGCCAAGCTCATGCCTAAGTTGGTGTCAGAGATTATGGTCTAGTTCGCTTTGAAGGCGCTGCAAACCTTCAGCCTTGGTCATTGGAATGATCTCTCGCTCAAAGTCTCGCGAGGCAGCAGACCATCGGCCTTGATATACTGAGAATTGGCGTAGTCCATGATTTCTGGCGTATTCATTGGCCTTGCTAATGGGGAATTCAGCCCAGCTCCTTTGATGAGGTTGATTCCTGATAGAATTT